TTATTGGCTGAACACTAGACAAAATTACCTTCAGAGAAGTACTACAGCTTATCATTAAATGTAATATTCATGGCAGTGCAGTAGTGATAGCTGTTATAATTTGTTAATTTCATATAGCCGTGAATATAAACTTTTATTAATTAGATTTGAGTGTTATTGTAGAGGATATTATGATTGATCCCAACAGCCTTCCTACCCTCTCTATTTTTAGCAGGCCTATGGATTGGAGGAGTGACCCAGCTTCAGGGATGGGGCTTGATTAATCTAAATTTAGGGATGGATTTAGATTAATCCAATCTTGGTAATTCCTCATGGCAGTGATTGGTGCAGGAACTCAGCCTTAGACAGCCAGAATGTGACATTCACATAGTTGTAAGTCCAGAAATGAGACATGAAGGAAAAGTCATTGGAGGCTTTGGGGAAACACTTTCTCACTTTAAGAGAGAGGCAGAGAAAGATGATCTCTTTTCTTCTCAGTATTGCTGTTGTGGTCAGGAACTGCTATCAGTCAGAGGATAAAATTGATACTCCCAGGAGGGCAGAGCCAAGGGAGGTGTGGAGAAAGGAGCCAGAACGCTAGACTAAGCCATCTCTAAACCCCAGTTCACCACTGGGCTTGTTGTATGCGTCAACAAATTACCTTCAACTATAATAGTTTGATTTGGGGTTTCTGTTGTTTGCAGCTGAAAGCATCCTAATTGATATAATCATATTATCATTTTACAGCTAATTATTCTTTTAATCCCCGGAGTAGCCTCAGGAAATTATCTTTACTTTAAATTTTAAAGTGAATGTTAATCCACTGTATATTTCTACTGATATTATTGTCAAATTAATTGTAATGTATCTTCATTTTCTTACTTGAATAAGATTTCTCAGCATCCTAACTATTGTTAGTATAGTATATTAAGAAAACTGAGCTTCCAAGGTTTTTTAAGCCATATTCATACTTAGTAGCATTTAACGTTTACTTAAATTATGTAAGAGCGTTTAATTTACTGTCTACCATATACACGTTCCTGTGCACAGCCTAACTGGCAAAGAGAGGATGGGTTCCTTGCTTGATTTGAGAGCAGTTACAGAGCAATATGTTAATAAAAACAAATAATACGGGATTAAATCGCTGTGCAAAAGCCAAGCCTTGAGGTAGAGATGGACACGACTGTGTAGAGAGCTGAGGAAAGGGAGAACTGCATGGGTAGAGTGGCCTCCTCAGAGAAGGCTGCAGTGAGGTGGTCACGCAGAAGTCAAGGAGGGGGAGGTATGGGGACTACGGAGAGAAACAAAGGCCTAAGTTGGAGAAACTTTGAGGGTTGCAGTGTCAGGAGAAAAGTGCATCCGGTGGGAAAGGCTGTATCGCCAGGTTGAGGAAGTTGGATCCATGGCTTCTTAAATAGTGCAGCAACATTACCACAGGGATTGTTGAAAGTTATTCTAGAAGTGGCACATAGGGGAATTAGACCAGGGAGAGATGTTGGCACAGTATCCTGGGAAGCTATTATAAATAATCCATGCATGAAGTGACAAGAGCTGTAGGATAATGGAATCTGAGTGTGTAATCTCTTAGGTTTATATGGAATTTTAGAGTTCCCAAAGCACTTACCCACATTATATAATTTATCTAATTAGATCCTCTCAGCCTTTTTTATGGATGAGGATATAGAGGTTCAGAGCAGTTAAGCAACGTGTCGAAAGTTGTTAATGACAGACCCTAACCTATGATTCAGTGCTTTCCAGTAATAATGATTTTTTCCCATTTTTAGCAAAATTCTTACTTTCTAGAAATGTTACCCATTTTAGATCCCTGCTTGCTTTTTTTTTTTTCCTGTGTCGTGCTAATTTGACTGGGCTTCGCAGCACTTTATCAATTGGCCCTTGACAGCACCATAAGCAAAAGCTAAATACCACAGTTCACAACTCTTAAAACATTGAAAACCTTTGAATAGTGAAAAGATGGTTAAGTATCACCATCTTTAAAACTTCTTCAAATAACTGAAAGGTAATTATTTCTAACAAATACAAAAAACCTAAAAGGCTAGGTGAGTGGAAAGTTTTCAAAGCATTTTAACTGAATGGAGAGTGAGACATTAAGGGACCCTCAAAATGGGTTTGTTGAATGAAGGTGGTATAGTACCTTGAAAAAACAGGAGTTATCATCTTAATAAACCAGAATAAGGAAAGTGTTAATCTGAACAGACATATTCATATACATTATCTTTTATTTGAAATGTGAATGAACTATTAAATGATGAAATATTGGACATTAGCCTTTTAATTGAGTAAGTGATTCTTCGAATATACAGTAGACACTTTGAAAGTCATGATTTTTTTCCCTTTTTTATTGTGGTAAAAAACACGTAATGTAAAGTTTCCATCTTAACCAATTTTAAAGTACAGTTCAGTAGTGTTAAGTATATTTACATTGTTGTACAACTAATCTCCAGAAGTATTTTATCTTGTAAATCTGAAACTCACCCATTAAACAACAACTACCCTTTACCGCTCTTTCCAGTAACTACTTTCTATGGATTTGGAAAGTCATGAATATTTTCAAAATGTTAATCTCAAGAAATATTCATTACATACCTACCAGGTGTTAGACATTGTTCTTGATGCCAGGACAGAAAGAGATAAAGGGTAGAGGAGGATTCCTAGAGGGTCTTTGTTACACTGGATTGTGTTTAGAAAAACATAAATCACAATAAAAATCAATGTCTATTAAGTCTTAAATGAGCGATGGCCACAGTAAATTCTGTGGGATGCAAGCAATATTAATCATGCTGTGTTGCTAAGTTTTGCTTCCAACATTGCAGACCCTCAGTGCTGAGGGAGGTGCCATAGAGGAGAAAATGAGAGTCAGGTAACCTGGGGATATTGGGTGTCAGATTGTATTTGTTAACAATCCATGATTATTGGTGAGGGGAAAGAATGATTAAGAAGCTGTTCTGCTAGATTAGCTTGGGTGTGATTGTTGTCTATTTCAAGATTCACAAGACTCCCTGGGGGAAAAGTACCAC